TAACAGTATCAGAATGCATTGACAGCTTTTATTCAGGACAACCTGATGGAGGAACAATTGGCTGCCACTGAAGATATAGTGGAAAGGTGGAATGGGTGGGAAGGCCCCACACCAGAGACAAAAGCAAGGTTTGATTGTATGAGGTCAACTTTCCAGTCTTCAATTTATCCTGGTTCCCAGGAATGCAGCCAAGTATGGGTACAAGTATGTCCAAAACTTTGTGATGGAGATGTGGAGGTATTGCAGAATGCACATAGTGTGTATGGCTGGGTGGAAAAATGAGGAGGGAACTATACAGGAATGCACATGAGTCCACCACATGCTCCTCTAGGCCTAGGTAAGACTCATGCAATGACAGTATGGACTTCAATAATGAAATCACAGATGGAATCCCCTTCAACAATGTCCACACACCAGAAGGAAGCTGGCAAGAGTACCTTGGGGAAACATTTGAGGAACTAGGAACACTGCTAGAGCATGATGGTGAGTCAAGTCCCAAACATGCTTGGAAAAAGACAGCAGCCAAAGCAATGAGGATGGGCAAGGTTGACTCTGTGAAATTGGTGAAAAATGCCAATGGAGAGATTTGGATAGGAGAAATCACAGGCCTTAGCCAGGACCAACTACAAAAAATGGTTCATGGATTTGTGACTGCTCACTACTGAGTGCTATCAGGATTAGCATGCAGAAATCCCTCATCAGCAGTACCATTCAAGAATTTTGGTCATCATCAAGTGGAAATGATAGCAGCCTGCCATCTTCTGGAAGGATTTACCTTTGACCATGACCCAAGTCACATGTGGACAACAACAGCTACCCAGCTGCTGTCCTTTTGGCACAAGCAACAGGAATCCCATCCAAATGATGTGTTTGGATTTCAGAAATGGATTGATCAATCTGGTGAGCTGCAGCCACTGGTGCATAGAACTTTGGTACCCCTCCAGGTTGTGAGGCAGTGGAAATACCAAAAGACACCTGTCCCCAAATGCAAAAAGAATCCTGGAAGGAAAAATGGCAAGGGCAAGGGTAAAGTGCAGGAAGTGGGAGTGGTGGATGATAGTGCAGATGATAGTGCAGACTACAGTGTGGATGACAGTTTGGATGATCACAGCAAGGCTGAGGTGAGTGATGTTGGAACAGATGGTCCCTCTGCTAAAAAGGTGCACCATGTGTGATTTTCATGCATGACAGATCAGCACTAATGCAATTCTGGTCTTCAGGTATCTTGCAGGAGGCAAAACCGTGCCAAGACACCATTCCCTTCTCATTCCCACTCAAATCCCCCACCAACTGATGGTTCCCATAGTGAGTGGCTCTCTGGACCTCCAGCCCATGCAAAGACCCCAGTGCATCATCCACAAAATAATGCACTAACTGATGATAATGGGAGGGAAAGCAATGGCCATGATTCTGATGATGAAGCTGATGAAGACACTTATTTGCCCACCCTATCCAATTCAAAGAAATTGGCAACATCCCTGAATAGTGAGCTTCCTGCTGTAACTTGTATTCACAGCAAACCCTGATCTGCACTCAGGGAGTGAGTACACAACTGAACTACAGGACCACTCAGAATATGCAGATGAAGATGGATTGGAGAGCATTCCTTTCACTGACCACCCAACTGACGAGGGGTCAACAAGCAGAAAAAATGGTGGAAAGCTGAAATCCACCCTGAAGCACACACACAAGGCAAGTTTGGTCATGTTGAATCAGCTGTTATGGCAAACAAGTTTGTGCTGTGTGTCAAGCAGGCTCTGTCAGAATTGAGTGAGCCAGACATGAATTAATGTCCACCTGGGGCCAAATACTCATCCAAGTCCAACAATAATGGATCTGTGACCACCAATGCAGCATCTGCAAATGTGAAACAGGGCATTCCTGGGAGAACCTGGAAGTCACCTCATGTCAGAAAGGCTCCTGCAAGGCCAGATGCAGATGTTCCATCTCCTGATGCAAAGAGATTGTGCAAGCAAACAGGCAGCAATTAGAAGTAGAAGTAGTTGTCAAATCCCTCAAACAGTCAGAGCAGAAACCTTTTTTGGAACTCATGTACAGTCTATAGAGGGCTTAGCCTATTGTGACACATTAGAATACAAGTGTATGGCATGTATGGTAGCTCATGACACCATGGTGGTTGTGAGAGGCATCTTTGATATCAGAGAGAGGGATAGTTAAGTGGAATGGTTGAGCAGGACAATTGAGTGGAGAGCTGAGCAGGACAGGTCTACATATTGGCCATGTGGAAGTGACTGGTAGCTATCTATGTAGGGAGATATTGCTGCTCATCTCCCATGTATTGCTGTTACCCAAAATTTGGCTCCATCCACCATTGTCCAACCCAATAGCCAAGATCTGACATCCTTCATCTCATGGTGTGAATGATATTCTTGCCATTGTTCCTACAAGTTTAAATCTTGATTGATCATCAACCTATCAGTGAACCCATCATCATTGAATATGTCCACCAAACAGTCCCACCAAGTTCATTTCCATCGTCAAGGTGAGGTTGTCTTCATTGTTGGATCAAGCAACCTAAGCCTTCCACAGCTAATGTAAGACCAATTGAGCCAAGGCAATCTAGCTCCCATGTGAAGCAGTCCAAAAATCTGGAGGAGACACTAGTACAACTGCATGAGTTGCAAGAGCCAACCCCTCCACAAATTGTCTCAAGTGGAAGGGCAGATATGGCAGGGTCAAACATGGATATTGTGGCCAGTGAGTGAACATGATTTCTCTCCAAGCTAAACAACAAACATTCTTTCACTATAGATTCATGTGAAAGCTTGCTGGATCAGTTCCTGCAGGAAAGGGAGCCAACTGCTCTGGCAGAGGGTGGAATTGTGGCCAGTGAGTTGGCATGATTGCCCTTCAAGCTAACGAATAAACTGATTTTCTAGTAATAGATCCACATGACAACTTGATGAATCAGTTCCTGAATGAACAGGAACCAACTGCTCCCCCAGCAGATGGTATGAATGTGGATCTACTCAAGCAATTGCTGAATGCACAGAAACCATCAGCACTGCCAGTCATGCACAAGAAATTAAACAAGATGGATGGGTCTTCAGCACCTGCACAAGATGTTACTATGCAGGTCAATTTTCTGGCAGATTTGCAGAATGTGCAGGAACCATCTCCTCTGCCCATCACCCATGAATCATCAAATCTGAGGGACCAATCTCCTTGACCTGATTCTCCAACTAACCTGCTTGCTCAATTGCAGGATATGAGGGAACCAACACCTCCACCACTTGTTTCAAATGTACCCATCAAATCTTTTGACTTGGCAGTGGATGAGGACAATGGCACAAACTGTTTGACTTTTGGCATGCCTGAACAATCAGAGATGAGGGATCTTTTCAAAGAAATATGCAACAGTGAGCATTTATTTGGTTCTATTCATGTGATCAGTGATATCCATTGATTATGTAGGTGCACTTCCATCCACACAGCAATCTCTTCAAATGGAACAATGGGGATTGGCACCTGTTCCATGTTGTGATCAAGGTATGGGCATGAAGTTAATCTGATACACCATTGGCATTGATAATTTTAGTCCTGTGCACCTTACATGCTACAGTATCTTGCTACTGCAGAGTCACCACTCCCAGTGACACACCATTCAATCCCACCCTCAGTAGGCACCTTGTGCAGGCTGCAAATGCCATTGCAAGAGAATTGGGCACAGCTGCAAGGGACCAGTATGGTGCAGCCTCTCAGGGCCTTTAACTCATCAATATGCTCAATTTGATGGAAGTCATTTGTTATCCATGTTCCACCTTTGAAAATTGTCCTGAGCCATTCATCACCAGCCAATCACACCCATCTTCCCAGTCTGTGGTAGAGATGGGTATCCTCTACTTGGCATGCTGGATTGAGGTGGCCTCTGTACATCTGAAGCAGACTGCCAATATTGCAGGATGGCTGACACATTGGTTTGCGAAACCTAGCAATGGACTTGGTAGGTCTTACATCAATTTTTCACAATGTGGGACTGATACATAATTCCTTCAGAATCAGCTTAATAGCTTGATTCTGGTGATGGTGTTGCATGCCAGTTATACTCCTCCCCTCCTGGCATGCTACCATGCATACCTCAGACACAAAGATGATGAGGTTAGCTTCTGCAATCAAATGCAGCTAATTCCCCTTAGTGCATTTTGCATAATCAACAATATCAGTGCCATCATCCCACATTGGACCCCCCACACAGCTGATCCCAATTCTGGCTTTGCATTCCCTTGGTGGCTATATCATTCTGAGGAATACACAGTGGATTCCCAAAGATTGCAAGGCAAGGGATTGTTTTCTGTGGCCTGGGATTTTTTTAAGGTATGCTGCTTATTCTCATCACTGCAAATAGTTGATGATGGCCCAGGGCTTATGGCCATTGCCTGAGGTGCCAATCACAGACTGTCTCAATGGCCATATTGAGGAGCAGGTAAACTACTGCATTGAAAATATTTGGAAATATGCCAATGTTGTCAATGGTCAGGGTTGACAAATTGACCATTTCTATGCTAGGTGGTGGGCATTGGGTGGGTTGTTGGGCATGCCACTTCAATAGTTTACATGTTTTTGACTGTGCAGTTGGTTGTATATACATTGCTTTGAATGTCAATCATCTATGAGATACTGCCCATTTGCATGATGTCTGGACCCCCACCCATCCATGTGATGTCTGACAATCCACCCATCTGCATGATGGCCTGAGTAGGTTTACTTTTTTTGCAGTTTATGATGCACACCCTTTAGCTCTGAGTACCTGCCCAATCTATGATGTTGAAGCACCCACCCATTTGCAAAATCTTGGCAACACCACCTGTCTGAAGTTTGAGAGCCAGCATATCCTAATAAAATACAAGATGCACATTGCCTACTAAATCTTACATTAAATTCTGCAGCTTCAAATCAACAGTTTTCCAGTTGCAACTGGTCTAGGTAGTAGGTTGTCCAACTGTGGTGATTGACACATGGGAATGTTGTGAGTCAAAGTGTGGTTCAGTGGTGAAAACCAACCAAAACCAACACAAAAGACAAAAAGAGTGAGTGGTGGTGTGCCTATGTGGTACCTAGATGGTAGAACCTTTGAGCTGGGTGGGTTTTTGTGAGCTACAACACTCAAAGATGAGTGCTGAGGGTTGGGGGTGCTCCTGATGAAGAGGGAGCAAGAATGCAATAGCAAGCGATAGGGTAGACTGCTGTCAGCCTACAGAAGGATGGATGACAACTTAATTTGATGTCCTAAACTGCACTGAGCTCAGGGAGGGCTTGGAGTGAAGTATATTGATGATAGACAAGGATAAGCAAAGTAGACAATAGTTAGACCCTTAATAAAGTCTCAACTATCAAAGCTGCTGAATGAATTACTGAGTGATGATAAAATTCAAGCAAGAGGGGCTCTCTGATGTCTTTTTTTTGCTATCTAAGTACAGTGATTTATATACAGTACAGGGTGCAAACACTTGGTAAGTGATTGGTAACTGATGAGTAAGGAATGTAAGCAATGGGTAATCATCTTGGAAAGCATTGGTAAGCATTGGTAAGGATTAGAAAGCCAAAAGGTGAAGGATCAGTAAGCAAAGTCAAAAGATTGGCAAGTATTGGCAATAGGTGAGTCAAAGACAGTCAGAACATCAACATATGAGTCAAGTAATGTCAGGAACTGGGAAAGCGCACTAGAATCACATTAGGGGGAGGCTGTGCATGTCACATCTCAAAGAGATTGCTTCTAGGCCAAGGTGGGATGACAGAGAGGCAGTGCTGATCTGATGCTGATACAGTACATCTGAAAGTGGACAGGGTGAGTCAGATGTCAACAGGGGTCAAGCTTTGGGGGTCTGTGGGGTGACAGGAGCATAGGGGATTGCAACTTTCCCCCCCAAACCATCCTCTCAGTGAAGCAAATAAAAACTTCATGAATGAGGCTCTGTTGGAAGAGAGGATGAAGGGGGAGTGTCTTCTGCTGTATCTTGCAACAAGGAGGCAAGATGTGCATCATACTCATCCTGGATGTGATCAGGGAGAGTGGAGAACAATAGATTATACTGTAGCTGTCGCAATCTTGGAAGAATGACAGATGAGACTGGTATGAAGACATTGCAGGGAGCAGGGAGGAAGGATCCATATGCTTCTTGGACTGGAGTGACTGAAACAACCACATAAGACCATTCCAAGTGAATGACAGACTGAGGCAACCAAGGAATGTCCTCCTAGAGGTTATACTGACAAAAAGAACACACTGTCCAAGCTCAATGGGCTGAGAGGGCACTGACAAGGGTGGGATGTACCAGGATGCTTCAGGATGGAAGCTGGTAGGAGCTCCTGGTAGATATAAGTAGCCATGGTCCCTAGCAAAGGGGACAAGCAAAATGATTGATGTGGAGGTGGCCATATCAGAAGAATTAGCAAAATGAGCATCTTTTGGAGGGAGTGCTGTAGAAATGTGTGGAGTGTGCAAATCCTTTCCAATCTTGGAAGGTAGGATCATGTGGCTGAGCACTACAAGCGAGTGTTGGAATGGTCTCAGTATTTGCAGAGACAGTGGAGATATGTCAAAAACCAGAATGCCATACACAGGCACTTAAGAATTTTAACCAGTGCTTAACTCACTCCCTTTCTTTTTCTTTGGCACTGATGACTCATTCTTGTGTGAGGGATGACTGCCAACATTTCTGGCTGTCCTTCTTCGCATGAGGGCTATGGTCTTCATCTCCATTCATCAGCTGTATCCATGTCCACCTCACCAAACACCTTTGGTGTGTGACAATGTGCACTGACTGATGTATATTGGCATGCATGTAGTACACCAGGCATGCTCTGTCACTGTCTACAGCTCCCACCCCATGCTCCAATGCCAAACTTGAAAATGCAATGATCATCCCTGGGTTGTAGCACAGCTGCAGATTCAACATTGGAATGACAAAGTCCAAGGGTGGGTAGTTGCCCACAGTTACCAGCATGTCATACCATGGATCCCATCCATTGATATCCCTGTCGTAACAAGTTGCCTGATTCACCATCACAGACATGCTGCTATATGTGGAGCTCCATATTGGCAGTATGGAGCTCATATCCAAATCCACCTGCTGTTCTGCCTGTTCACAAAGGTGGATCAATGCTTCCCTGCCATCTGCATACATTTGTCGATGGATGACATGCAGGATCACAGATAACAGGGCATTGGTATCAGACATTTGGTCAACCCATTCCCTTGTAGAAGTGCTTTCTGTCCTGGATTTGAGCAGCCATGAGGCTTCTGGGAAGCCATTTTGGGGCTTCAAGATGGATGAGCACTTTATTCACAAGGCAAGAAATGATCACCCACCCCATGACCCTGTTGAAACCATGCAGGTGAGAGGTTGGTGGTGCCTTTCAACTCAGCATTATCACAGAAACATGACTTGTCCATCTGCCATGCCTGTGGGGAAGCCTTTATGCTCTCCTGCAGTAGTTCCCTCAGAAGATGAAGGCAGTTCCATATGTCAGCCTGCCATTCCATTAAGTCAGTAGAATATGAGATTCTGCATTCCCTTACCCTTCTTTTTGGGCTGAGAGCATCTGGCAAATACCATATGCAGATGGTGTTTGAGTCAGTCACCAGAATGGATGGCTCAGTCACTTCTGCATATCTCTCAGCAGCTTCTGCATTGCAGGTTTTTCCACCCCAATTTTTCCCAATGTTGACTGCAGAAAGATGAAAACTTCCATCACACCATTATGATGGACTTACTTGGGTGACAATAGGCCTGTGAGATTACTGATGATATGTGATCCACTTCACATAACACTGGAAACAGAATTGATATATCTAGAAGGGCACAAGGTCCACTGAATACCTCCTCTTGAAATCTGGCTTTCATGTATGACACAATGCAGTCTGTTAGTTCCATTTGCCATCCATGGGGGGTTTTAGATGTGTCTTGCATAGTATTCATGCTTGGGGTGGATGAGGTTGGAGTTGTATAGCAGGCAAGCTGCTTGCAGCTTGTTGGAAAATTATGGCATGTTGGGATGCTTGCCTCAATATTTTACTGTGATCTGATCAATATGTTGTGACACTACACATGCTATTGGTGTTGGGCCTGTCTTATGTTGTGACAGGGGTGGATCTTACTAGATAGACCCATCCTTGTTTTATGTCAATATAAAAGATATTACTGAAGGGCCCATCCATATGCTATGACCATATACATAATACTGCTGAAGGGCCTGTCCTTATGTTGTGACTGCATAAATGATACTGCTGAAGGGCCCTTCCATATGTTGTGACACTATAAATGATATTACTGATGGGCCTGTCTTTATGTTGCAACAGGTGTACATGTTGCTATTGATGGGCCCATCCTTATGTTGTGACAGGGGTGTATCTTACTAGATGGGCCCATCTATGTGTTGTGACACTGTAAATGATATTACTGACAAGCCCATCTTTATGTTGCAACAGGCATACATGTTGTGACCATGTAATTGATATTACTGACAGGCCCATCCTTATGTTGGGATGGGTGTATCCTACTAGACAGGCCCATCTATGTGTTGTGACACTGTACATGATATTACTGATGGGCCCATCTTTATGTTGCAACAGGCATACATATTGCTATTGACAGGCCCATCCATGTGTTGTGACTCTGTAATTGATATTACTGACAGGCCTGTCCTTATGTTGGGACAGGGGTGTATCTTACTAGATGGGCCTGTCTATGTGTTGTGACACTGTAAATGATATTACTGACAGGCCTGTCTGTATGTTGCAACAGGCATATGTGTTGCTATTGACACACCCACCCATGTGTTGTGACCATGTAATTGATATTGCTGACAGGCCTGTCTTCATGTTGTGACATGGGTGCACCTTACTAGATGAGCCTGTCCATGTGTTGTGACCCTGTAAATGATATATATTGAAGGGCCTGTCTTTATGTTGTGACAGGTACATCTTACTATGGACAGGCCCACCCATGTGTTGTGATGGTATAAATGGTATTATGGGAGGGCTTGTCCATATGTTGTGGCAGGGATGCATCTTACTAGACAGGCCTGTCTATGTGTTGTGACACTGTCAATGATATTACTAACAGCCCTGTCCTTCTGTTGCAACAGGTGTACATCTTGCTATGGACAGGCCCATCTATATGTTGTGACAGGGGTATATTATCCCAAAGATGGGCCCTTCTATATGTTGCCAACTCTGTAATCTATCATAGAGGGTCCCCTCTTTATGTTGTGACCCTATAAAGCATATGATGGGTGGGCCCATCCATATGTTGTGACCTTCTTCATGATACAATAGGTGGGCCTGTCCTGATATTGTGACTGGGGTGCACCCTACCATGGATGGGCCATCCATGTCTTACAGCAACTCAGTATACTTAATTGGTCACAGGCCCATCTATATGTTGCAGCATCCTTACCCTCCACAGGCCCTCCCATATGTTGTGGAATTGTGCTTACAGGACCATACATATGTTGCTCTCACTATAGGTCCTCAGGCCTGTC